TTTAAAATGGCTGGTGCACACGCACCCGCGCAGCCCGTTCCTCGCTCCCGTTTCACACGCGCGGAACTCCACGCCGGCCTCCCGTTCCGTGTGATTTTCTCCCGTTTCTCGCGCCGCTGATTTTTCGCGCGCGAGCGTCGCGTTTCCACGATCGGTGTCCGCTTTCGTCTGGACACCGAGACACCGGACACCCCGGAATCGGCCCCACGATCTCTCCGCGCCGCAGATTTTTGCTGAGCCGCGGCCACTCGATCAATCGCTATAGTCTGGATTAAATGAATCGGTCGCTCGAGATCCTCCCCACCACTCGACGGTAACTGGGCTTCGTGGAGGGAAGTGGGAGGAGTTAGAGAGCGAGTGGGGATGGCTCCTCCCATTGACCTTGAACGGAGTGTTTGGCTTGAATGGTTCCTTTGCGGTTTTTTGGGCTTGGATCGTTGGAATGATACTTTGGTCGATGCAAGAGGGTTGATGATTGAAGTTGATGATTGAACACTAGAAATACCGGATGGGTCAGAATGACGCATTCCTAAATTCTTCTTTTATAATTATTGAAAAATTGATCTTTCTCTAAGAAATTTTGAAGGAAATTATTTTAGCAATACGCAAACGGAATTTTGATGGAAGTCTCCGTAGATGCACTCTTGGGGTTTCTATAGAATTATTGTGAGAAGTCGACTGCTTGGTAGTTCTAGTGTTAAGGGAGAGAACGGAATAGAAGGTATTGAATGGAAATTGGAAGTTGAATGTTGATAACTTGGAAATCTTTTCACCCTTTGCACTCGGAGGTGACTCTCACAATTGGGTTTGATACAGGAAAATTATAAAGTTTAATGTTTAATACTAAACATTCTATAACGCATCACTATGTGAAACATCGAAGTAAAATACTTTTGTCCCTTAATTTATCGATTAAATTATTTACATTAGTCGCAATATGTATCGTCTATATTTTATCAGAGTGCTGAATATTTCTAGCAAAAAACGAGTGCAAAGGGTTAAATTATTCTGAGTTTGTTGTACACCTCTTTCATCGACGAATGAGCATCGAGAATATTTAACCCCTTGTCCTACGAGTGAGACTCGTGGTGAAGAAATATGTATCATTCAGTTCATTCAAATTCAAAGTAAATATTATTCCTCTTTAATCAACTATCATACTTCAAAGGAAATATAAGCATAACATGTGCTTAGAATTTTTCTCTTTCTCCAATAAATTATTAATGACAAAGTAGCCGTAGGTCAGAGTTGAAAAAAACCATAGGTCAAGGGGTTAAGTAACACGGATGAAGCTCGTCCAGATCAATTTTAAAAATCATCATTGTATCCGCAAAAGCATGCAACAATCGTGAAACACTTCTTTTTTGAAAATCGAAACCAATGATAATGGACAGAACAATTCGAAAACAAAGTTCCCCTGTTTACTTCCTCGAGTGCATATGACTTAAAGCGATGTCTGGTTTCAAATTCCACGTGCAGCGAGATCTCGGAACGACCCAGGGTTCACGAAAGCGTCGGAACTGCGCTCTGTCATCTCCTTCCTTCTCGTTTGATAGTTCGCGACGCGGTGGCGGGAAAAAAATCATCCTCCGCCTTTAATCTTAATTGAGGCCAGGCGTATCCGGTTAGCGAAACCAGTCGCGGCGAAATGATTTACGAACTTGTCGCGGTTGATTACTGTCGGTGTCGATAAACGACCACCGAAGAGAAAAAGCTGACCCCTGAAACAGCGGACGAGCGTCGTTCCCCGTTTTCGCAGTGTAAAAATCTGTCGTCGTGTAATAATGAACCACCGTAGTGTACAGGAACAAATTCGATCGATTGAGTCTTCGATTTCTATTGAAAAATAATTTCTAAAACGATCCCTTTCGATCGCGTGGAGAATTCTTCGTGGATCATTGAATGGTACGTTTCGAAAGTCGAGTCTCCTTGTTTTTTTGGCTGTTTTAAACATCGTTGTCTTCCTAATTTCCATTTTAAGGCACTAGCTATCTACGTCGGCTATATTTGTCTAGTCTGTTTTATTGTTCAGCTTTCGAAAAGGATTTGCAGACAGTCTGCGCGTTCGTCGGAGCTAAGGCACGGTCCTACAAGTTCGAGGGAAACTCTAAAGGCACCCTAGCGCGTCACACGCGGTCACACGCTCGCATACCCACACTCGGTCCGCCTTTCTTTTCGTGCATACCGCTAACATCTACATGATACATCGTTCTCGTCGATTCTGCACGCGTTTCTTTCGCATTTCCGCTCGAGGGTGAATCATTGCCGTGTTCGCCATCGAAGAAGCTCAGAATTCCTTTTTGTAAAAGCGATTTTTGATAGTTTGATACAATTGGAATCTTCAACGTAGCCTACGTTAACTTCGAATAGAAACCTTTGTTAAGACGATCAAGGTTAAGAATTCAATTTTGTGACGGTAATATATAATTAGTTTAAACTGAAGTTTGAGAACATTCAGATTAGCTTCCTCGGTGAACGACAGACACGATTCCGAAAGGGAGCGAGTTCCAAGGATGACGATCGCGAGTGCAGGCCTATCGCCGGAAGAATTCAAACGCAACATTTCGGAAGAACCGAATTTTCACGTTCAGAGATGGACATTCGCGATGGAATCTCATAATTCCCGTGAATGAGTACCCTTCCATCATCATGCCTCGATTTGATCTCTATTACAAACATGAAACTCTTACAAATTCTATAGGATCCTCTGAAGAATCCCTCCCAGCGTCACTAGAGCTCAAATTCAGAGTTACAGTTCGACCGGAGGTACTCAGAATCGCTGCAGCCATCTTTGAAACCGTGAAAACGGGGGAAATACAAGGGTCGTATGGTCGTTGAGCATCCCTGGGGCTGAAAACGCGAGAAACTCGATCGTTCTCGCATAAGACACGCAGTTGTTGGACGATCTCAAGCTCAGAGATGGACGAAACGCTTCTCTAACCGAAGGAAAACAAAATGTAAACAAAAAGAAAACAATATCAATTGATTCAATCAAACGTAAACAAAAATAAAAATAAACTGGTAAAAACCATGTCATGCATAATCGTGTTAGAAATCAATTGTTCTTTGAACGAAATCTCATCCATCTCTATTCGAGCCCCTGATTTCTCGAGTATACCTCGCGTATACTTTCTGCTCTATCGTTCCTCGCCACTGTACACTTCACAATATACAATATTCTTTTTA